GGAGAGTAGAAGAAGAATGAAAGCATTGAAGTAATTCAGGAATATAATCAGATCACTCATAAGTCAAGGCACTTATTTAAAAGAATATGGAGGTGGGTCAAACATATCCTCAGTTGGGTCAAATGTATCCTCAACATATCCTTAATTCTAATAAAAATGGTTTTGTGATTTTCTGAGAAGTCTGCAACCTCTCATTTAAGTTTCCCAATTACTCTGTGTAGTAGTAAAGAACGGTTTTATTATTCTTGTCTTGGAGAGAAAATTTAGAAGGAGAGTCCCCAAGTTCACACTGCTAGTGCAAAGTTGAAATGAAGATACATGTCTCCTGGCTTTAATTTTCTGGCAGTTTGCATAAAAATTTGCCATTTAATACTTTCAATCAGCAATATGGGCAAAGAATTTTGACAAATACCTTGACATGCATACAATGCTGATTTGTTTAAACACAATTTCTTCCTTAAATAAATTAGTTTTTTTTTTTTCCTGTAATAGGATTTGAATCATTATTTTGTGGCACAATACAGCATGGCCAACAAGAACCCTGGCTTGGACAAGAGGCAGACCTGGGATCAAGCTTTCCCATCTGCGTCCTGACTGACTTTGAGTAAGTTCTTGATCCTGATAAGACTCAGGGTCTCTATTATGAATTAGGATATTGGTATTCATCTCACATTGATCTTTCGCAGTTTGAGCTATTCTACATATGCATGTGTCTCAAACACAAATACAGATTGAGTTGTTTTACTGTTTGTGCCTCAAATTTAAATACAAATTTTCTATCCAATAATCTAATACAAATTTTCTATCCTATTATCACAAGCTTCAAACAATTTGAAACAGTCGTAATTAGTGGATTTAGGAGTATGTAATGCTATTTCTACATTACAGTTAAAGAAAATGAGGCAGAGAGATATTTAAAAATGTAATTACAGTGTTACTTCAGATTAGGTTCCAGATAGTAACAAATCCTGCAAAAAAAAAAAATATTGTCTTGTACAAGACAAAATTTCATTTCATTTTTAGAAATCGCCATCCAGAAGTAGGTGGTCCAGAACTCCATGAATATCAGGGATTTGGGTTCTTCTATGTTATTGCTCTACTACCTTGTTCCTGCTTCATAATCTAAGAAAGTCCGTCAGACTCAAGTTATTCCAGCGAGCAGAAGGAAGAGGAACAAATAAGAAAGGACAAGCTGTCATTTAAGGAGGTTTCTGAAAGTTGCAACCTAACACTTTGGCTTTCTATTAATTGGACAGAACTTAGTCACATAGCCACATTTAACTGTGAGATGAGATAACATAATCTTTATTCTAGGAACACTAAGCTGCACTAAAAAAGCATTGGTGCTCTTACTAAAAAAGAAGAATGAATATTGGGACACGTAACTAGCCGTCCGTACCATGATAAGTCTGATCTTCACTTGAGGTCTATTTGTAAGTTTCTAATTTATTTTCTCTTTGACTAATTCAACACACCCAAATGCACTTTTCATAATCTTTGGATCAGAAGAGCCAGCTTCTACTATTAACTTTATGATTTCTTATATATCTTCAACACATATCTTACTTGAGTATGTACACTTATTTTCCCACTGTGTATAGGAATTCCAATACTTATCCCACCAGTGGATTTATAAGGAATGTGCAGATCTAGCCCTACAGTTCCGCATTAAATTCTCATTTGTATTTAGGTCTTTTTTTTTTTAAATCTTTTTTCTATTAGTCTAATGATCTCTCTATTTATGTGTATCTGGTCACAGTATCCCATTGATGACTGTACACATTGATAATTTTAGTGTGTTTCTTTATGGAGGTTTTATTATAGCTTATAATATCTGTTAGGGAAAGTTTGCTCTCATTATTATTATCCATTATTTGTAGAGTTTTCCTATTATTTTTTTAGATAAAATTTAAACTTAGCTGTACTACTTCTAAAAACTGTGTTAATATTTCTCATTGTGATTGTGTTACATTTATGAATTAACATCTTGATAATGTTGAGTCTGTCGACCCAAAAACATGCATGACTTAAACTTGTTCAATTTTATTTTCAATGTTTCATGAGTGTTCTTAAAGATTTTTTTTCCATATTTATCTAACCACTTTAAATTTATTCCTAGATATTTTAGCCCCTTTGTTGAAATTTTAAATGGGGACTTTTCTTCCAATATATTGGAAAAATGTTATGTATTTCTTTCATTATACTTCTAATTGTTTTCAATATACTTCTATCCTTATATAAAAGCTATTGATTTATATACTAATTTAGTACTTGGCCACTTTATTAAATTATCTTTTTCTTTGAAGTTACTCCTTTAGTTTATTCTCCCATATTTTCCAGATACTATTATATCATCTGCAAAAATGATAACATCACTTCCTCACTGACAATTTTATATCTCTAATTTCTTTATCTCTGCTAGCTTCATTGTATGGTATCTTTAAACAAAAGTTAAATGATTATAATTATTGTGGTTGTTTTTATCTTATATCTGACTTTAAAGAGAATACTCTTGAAGTTTCCCCATTGAGTATGATGATGACATTTGGTTTTAAAAAAATATGTCTTATAGTATATATCCATATATTTCTTTTTTTATTGAGATAGAATATAATTTTTTAAATATCTATAATGCTTGCGTTCTTGATCCAGAACATAACAGTAATTTCCACCATTTCCTTTTTATATTAATATGCTTGGCAAGTTAAATAATTAGTGAAAGCTATTGGGTAAATAAATTGACACGGGTGAAGCAGTGGAATCCTGCTGAGGGATATTTAATCTGGATCATGCCGGGAATAAGCCTTACCCTTGACCTGCTATGAAACAGATGTTTTCAATGATGCTAATCATTGGGCTTTCCAGCTGCGCTGCTTATTAGTGAAGCAATAATTTTCACTATGTGTAAGTGAAACCCAAATAACAGTGCTTTAAATAAGATAGAAAGTTGCTTTTCTCTCAGGTAAAATGCAGATGCAGGGATTCAGGAATATCTCATGGCCCCACTGTTCTCAGGGACTCATGCAACCTCCAGCTTTGCATTCTGCCATCCCCAAGATAGCATCATTGTCCTTAAGTGTCAAGATGGAATTTTAGCTATCACATCCACAATCCAAGCCACAACATAAAGGAAGGGATGAGAAAGTGACATGTCTTCTTCTTTTAAGGGACATGGGACACCATTTTCATTTATGTTCCAGTAGCCAGCACTTAGTAACGTGGTTGCTTGTGCACAGGATACTGGAAATGTAGCCTTAATTCTGTATATCCATGTTTTCAGCTAAAATTCTAAGGGAGAAGGGAAATTGGGAATTAACTAGGAGCTTTTGCCAACAAACAAGCTTGGTCTATTGGATACTCAGGCACACTTCAACTTTCTCCTTGCAACAGAAACTTCTATTAAATGGATCATTCATATCTTTTTCAGTACATCATTTTTTTTTTTTTTTTTGCTGGGGAAGATTAGAAGCTTCCTAGCTTCCTGTTCCTGAGCTGACATCTGTGCCCATCTTCCTCTATTTTGTATGTGGGATGCCGCCACAGCATGGCTTGATAAGTGGCGTGTAGGTCTGCACCCGGGATCCGAACCTGCGAACCCCAGGCCATGGAAGTGGAGCATGTGAACTTAATCGCTACACCACCAGGCTGGTCTCATGTTGACAGTTGTTTTATCTATAATATTGTAGGCCATCCTAATCTATTCTTTAGGTTTTGACACAGAAGGAGTTCCAAAATTCAGCTATTTTAAATGGTAGCCAATATATCAATTTTCTCCACATTACTCCCCAAACACTAGTTGTATGGCCTCTGCACAGAGACAACTCAACTCTTTTAAGAGAGTCCATTCCTTTATAATGAAATTGTAATCATCAGGAATTTTTTTTTCATATTAGTGAAAACTTATACACCTGAAATTAGAACCTATTAAACTTAGTCTTTTCCTCTAGAATCTAGAGATACATGATTCAGTATGGGAGCCAGTATTTTTCATATTCAACAAACATACTAAATAAGTGTTTAAAAAGTTCTTGCTTAGCATTTCGTGAAGATAAACTAACGGGTATGTGAAGGATGTCCATCACAGGCCTATGTTCAAACACTCTCTAGAAGTACTTGCAAGACTCAGCATATAGTTATCCTCATGGCTAAGATGCTTTATAGTGATGTAGTGAGGATACACGGTTGAACCAGTAGGGAAAAGACACAGGCAGAGTCTGGAGGAATGCATGTGTAGGTTTCCATGTGACTCTCCTTCCCATGAGAAGTCACACAGAGCACACATCTCCCCAGTAACAAAAATGCAGCAACATGTGTGTGATGTTTCTGCCCAGGGATGCCCATTAATGATGCAGTGCCAGAGCTCTTTACTGGGCGCTGGTCACGTAGGTATCCTCTGGTTTACTGGGGGATGGTCATGCATGAAAATTTCAGACTCTGCAAGAAAAGCAGGTATTTAGCATAAACCATATTGTTTGCACAGTCTAGGCACAGTGAAGCTCCCTTGTCATTTAACTGTTGATTGGGAACTTTAAGAGCCAAGTACACATATACCAGCCAAGGGCCAATCTTGCCAGCCAACTTTTCTAATGATAGCTGTCTCAGGCCTGCTTTGTAAACTCTTTTCTGCAAAGATAAGTAAGTGCCCATATCTTTAAATTTCTAGATGAATAAGATCAAGATATATGTGTAAATGTGTTCTTAATTTAGTAGGCATAAAAATACAGTGTAAATATAAAGTGTTAAAAACACTCATTCAAAATTAAAATTTTCCATAGCTTTTTTCAACTGTCAGGTGAATAACAAACTATATTAATAATGTTATTTAACAAGGGAGGCGTGCTCTTTTCGTAGGTAAGGTATTCCCATCTTCACTCCATTGTCCTCAGGAAAAAAAACACAAAGTGTTGATGTGTTGGGATAAGAGCAAATATCGTGACTTCTTCCTCCAATTCCCATTAAAAGCTCTGCCACAATCTCAATCCGCAGCCAGCTTTGGCACGATGGTTTTCCTTCCTCCTTGGGCCTGTGTACATAGGCTTTTCTGTTTCTTTAGCAGGAGCATCCAGTCTCTCAGACCTGTATCCCCCTCTGTGGGAGGAGAGTCCTGGTCAATTCAGTGACTCCCAGGGTGGAGAATGGAAAGTACATTATTGATCCCTGGGTATACCCTGAGAGAATGGGGATGTATAAAATCCTAGTGAATAAGATAGCCAGTTATTCTGAAAAATTTGCACCAGAAAATAAAAACAATACTTTCTGGGGATTGCCTCTGCAGCATGGCTGGCAGTATAGTACAGGTAAGAACGACTCTTGTTTTCCTTCTAATAATCTACCAATATAACTGTATAGTAATTGGGAAATGGGACTCTACCTATACCATACCATGTTTATGAAAATTGAATTTTTTCTTTGTCCCGTATAACCATTATTTTTCTGTTTCTTCTCCTTCTCTTCCATAAATCCTTCCTTTATGTGTTGCCTGTTTTGACTAGAAACTGCAGTGAGGCATACAGCACAGTTGCCAAACACAAAAAGACTTCATACCTAATCTATTGAGCATTATTGGACTTGTACCAGGTGCCAGACTCCATTCTAAGTACTGGGATGAACAAAATAGTCAAGAGGATATGCATTAAAAACAGAAGATGATGTCAAATTAGTTCAAAGTTCTTGAAGTTCTAATTGTGGTTACCTATACATGGAGATAGGAGTAACAGGCAAGCAGTGGCCTCTTGCTCATGAGGACATTTGTCTGCAAATGATTGATTCCTTTTGAAAATAAAGTATGTTCCAGTGTTTAGTTACAAGATGTGTTTGGACCAAAGATTCATAAATTAAAAGATAGTTTTGTCCTGGCTGATAGAAGCTCATGACGGAGAGTGGTGCCTCCCGCCCACTCCATACTGATAACACCACCAATAAGAAAATTTGTTCTGCTCTGACAGAAAAAATATAGGGAGGAGATTAAGATTTATCTGAGGTCTGAGCAGGGGTCACATGTAGGACCTACTGAGGTTGGCAAGTCACCCATTTTTGTCAGGGGACGTCTTGAGACTCAAACCTACTCCTATTTATCTGGCTTTCCTTGCAGTCAAAAGACCACGGTCCAGGAGAAATCATTACATATAGTCTGCTATGGGAAGTATGCCAGCCTCAGGGGGCCTGGAGGCCTATGGTAGATGGAGGCTGAATGAGCTGGTAGATTAATGTCCTTCTTATTCTTTCATTACATCCACACATTAGAATCAAGCCTGATTAAACTCACCTAGTGATGAGCTTATATGTGTCCAGCATTTTCTAAGAGCAGTGGGGGGAGGGGTGTAAATAAGTATTTCAGACAGTTTCTCTGCCACCAAACACCTTACAACACAATTGAAACTGGAAAGATAGCAGAAATTAAACAAAGAACAATAAACAACTTTTGCATAAAAGCTAAAAGTACACAACAAGGGAGAGTGTGAGTCAGTTGGAGTAGTTAGGAAGAAATGGATTTGAACTGAGACTTGAAATGTGGACAGAATTTCATTGGGGAAATAGAAATGAAATCTACTAGGGAATAAAAGAATGAACAAAAGCAGTGGTTCTCAGCCAAGTGGTTCTCTTGGCTGTACATTGAAAATAACTTCCTAGTTTTAAAAAGTACCAATATGTAGGTCCACCACCAGAAATTTTATTCTGATTTAATAATGTGGGAAATTAAGCTAAAGGACAGAGCCTGGAAACAGCATGGCATAGGTATATGTGATTGAGTGTAGGGCACGTGTGTGTGTGTGTGTGTGTGTGTGTGTGTGTGTGTCTGTGTGTGTGTGTTAAAGGGACAGGAAAAGGAAGGGAAGACACAGAGAAAGGGATTGAGGGGAAGGGACTTGTTGGGGATCAGTGAAAGAGGAAAAGCTCAAATTAAAGCAAAATATTTACTGATATTCAGGAATTAATGTTATTGGAATACCGGGTAAATTAAGTTTAGAGTCTGGGTATGAAGTTTTAGGAGATATAAAACTTCTTTAGGTTATTGAACAAGTATGATTTTACAAAAAGAGTTTTCATCAGGCTTGTTTAGTGTTTTGGTTCAGATGGATTAAAATAAGACATTGGCATCTTTGGGCCAAGCTCAGATACTCTAGAGATAACGCAGATCTGAAGTGAGGAATCTGGATGAGTGAATGCCCATGGTGAAGGCTACAAAGATTCTTCAAAGGGAGAAATGACAGGACATGGACTCAAATTGGATACCGAGGACAAGGAAGAGCTGAGGTTGTTGAAGTGAAAGAATACAAAATTTTATTCCTCTGACAGAAAAAGAGATATTCAACCTTGCATGGGTATCAAGATCAGTGCACAATTTCAGGCATATTCAGTTGGAGGTGAGAAGGAATCAAATAGGACATATGCTCAACTGGGTGTTCAGGACTGAAGAATAATTGTTACCAACATTAAAGTGATATTTGTAGGTGACATATGGGGTGAACTCTTTGAGGGAGTAAGTGAAATCAAAAGGAGGTGGAACGATGGAAAGAGGAGTCAGAAGAACCTCTGAAGGAAATGAGAGAGTGAAAACAGAGGAGGAGTGTTTTACAGATTTATCTTTAACTCTAATTTAGCAGCCTGAGGAATAGTCAGGAAAAGTCAGACTTCTAATACTTACACAGGTTAGTAGCATTAACAAGTTCTTCAATCATCGCTTTGAGAATGATCAGGTTAAGGAAAGCTGAATGGTAAAGAATAACGAGATGAAAAAGAAAAGAATTGAAGATAGGAATGGAAAAGAGATGAGTGGAACTAGCAAAAGGAAAGAATGAAGATGGTGAAATTGTAGAGAAATGGAAGGAAAAAAAGATGAATACAAAAGAGAAGGAGTAGAAACCAAAGCAGAAGATGCAACATATTGGTCAGTAGAGGCATGAAGGCAAGGGAGCAGTCCGAGAAGTAAAGGAGAACGAGTCCTTGACTAACTTAAATGGAAGCCAGGGAAAAGAGGAAGTGAGCAGGCCTGGAGAGAATAAGCTGTGGATGAGTAAGGCAAAAAACGAACAAAACACAAGAAAAAACTACTAGAAACGAAAGTTGAAAAGGAGGAGGAAAGTATGACAGAGAAGCAGAAGGATGAACAAAGGATAAGCAAGGGAGGTGGGAAAATGACAGAAAATGAACATGAAAAATCAGAGAGAGATTGAGAAAATATCAACTGTCATTTGGTAAGCAAAAGAAAGACTATACTCATTGGAAGAAACACTTTTCATGCTTTTTCTCACTTGACACAACAACCTTATAATGTAGTTACTATTATTATCCTCATTTTATAGATGTGAAAACTGAAGCATAAGTGGTAAATTATTTAGCAAAAGTCCAGCTAGTAAATGACAGAGCAAGGGTGTGGTTTGACTCTAGGCCTCTTTTAATCTGTATGCATATTGCCTCCCTAATTTTGTAGGGAAGAAGAGAATGAAGTAAGAAAAAGAACCATTACAAAAGCAAATAATATTCAAGATAGATAATTCAAAAACAGAAAATTGTGGTGATGTTAGAGAAAGGAGAAGAAATTGGTTCAGAGATGGAAAATCAAGGATAAAAAGTGATAGGAAGATAAACACAAGTCATCAGAAGACGAATGTGCATCTTTACAAACAAAATGCACCTGACAATTAAAACCAGTTTCAAAAAGTATGTAAGAAATAATCTGTGCATCCTCTCTCTTCTAGGCAGATTAGCTGATCCCAGCCAAAGGACAGACTGTGGCTATGTATCTGGAGATCGTTCGTGCATCTCTATGGACAGTTGGTGGGCTGGTAGGTTCATTTAAATAGCAAAGTAGGCAATAACCATCCCCTAAAGAAAGTATTCAAACTAAAATCTTAGGGACAGAGGCAAAACAAAAGCAGTGCTATTCCTTTGTATAAAGGAATCTACTTCATCTTGTACCTTATGGCCTTTATGTCATGTTCTAGGATTTAACAGCCACAATGTAAATAATGATTCCTTAGGACATAGTCAGCTTTTCCCAGGACTGACACAACAAACTGCAAAGGACAGTGACCTCTGAAAGACCTGCGCTGGTGGTCAGGTAGGAGGTCCCACTAGTGAGGGGAGCCTCCAGCAAGAGGAAGGACAAGAAATGAGAGAATAGGAAAATAATACTGTTTCTCATTTTGCTCATTTAACTTTTAAGCCCATAAACATGTCAAAGATTAATCTACCAAAATCATCTTATCAATCAGTAATCTAAGGCTTCAGTCAGATATTTAATACTAAAATCATCAGAAGATATTTTCTAATTCTTTAATTTTATTTTGTGTTTTAGTAATGAAATTAATTTACATACTATTTCTTAGAGTTATTTCTCAATACTCAGAAACAAAACTATTAAATTTCCCTTTCTTGAAGTGACCTGCACACACTGGTTCTTTTCAAAGACCCACAAATAGTCATGGCCACAGATCTGTAATTCAGGCTTCTTTATCCTCAGATTGACTTCATAGGTTGGAGTATCAGCCTGCTACCCTGGGGCGTAGAACTGCATTCAAAAATGCTTGTCTATCCTATGATGAAAAATGTGCTGCATCACCAGTGGGAATCAGTATAAGCTTCATAGCCAACTACATTATAATGTCTAAATCTGCTGAAATAGGTTATATTTAGAGAGAAATAAAAATCTTAATGTATTGTCAATTTAATTAACCAAAGATACTTTGTCAAAACTTATCTAACATTTTTGCCTTAAAGACCTAATAGAAGACAAGGACTTTGTGATATCATGGTTGCACGTTAAACTTGGTTAAATAAAATACAAAATATCAATACTGTAACTGCATTAAAATATTTTAGAAAAAATCAAATTTCAAGGTAAAACCTCAGTTAGAGGTGTTGTATCATTCTGTGCACAAGTGGATACTTTTCCTTCTTTTTTACTTCATGCTTTGAAAAAATGAATATTACCAAATTTATTAATGTTGCTTTTGGTTTTAAAATATTATAGTCAACTACTTTAACCCATATTTATTTATGATTGTTGGGTAATTAACAGAAGCATGTTAAAGTTATGGCTATGATCCTTAGGAAGATTTTCAATTTTTTTGCAGTGACTTTTTTTCACATACGTCTGGATCTATGAGTTTTTGCTTAATGGTTTACAGATTATTTAAATATATCTTCTCTCATATTAGTTAGTGCTTGTGGTAATAATAAGTATTTTATTCTTACAGATATGAATTACTTTCTGTGTGTATTACCCTTCCTTGCTGCAGTTGATTCCGGCATAACGGGGATATCATCAGACCAAGTCACGCTTTTGCCACCACCCAAGGATTAGATGAAATTCTGTCTTAATGTTTCTAGTTGTCAGCCATCCTTCCCTGGGACAATGAGAAAGTGGAATGACCTTTACCAGGTTCCTTTTTTAAGTTTTGTAATTTATTCTCTTAGGAGGTGGTAAAGGAATTTCTTCTTTTTTTTTTTGTATAATGTTTTTTGTCTAGGTTTTTATGAATATTATCTATTTTCCTAAGTATAAAAATGTAAATTTTTATGCAATTATATTAATATATTGCATTTAGCAGGGCACTACATGTCATTAACACTCTCTGAACCAATGCAGCATTATCACAAAATCAATTCACTCATCTCACTCTAAATAAATTATACATAAATGCGAGAGTACACAGGATATCTCACTGAAGGAAAAGATTATTCTGGTTAATTGAACTTTCATGTCAACTGAGAGATAACTCTTGGGAGAAATATGATTATGGAGTTGTTTTTAGAACAATCAACTAACTTATTTCAACTGAATTAATAAATGATCACATACAAATAGAACTAAACAATTATGTGGAAATCAAAACCAAATATTCAATAACCAAAATAAAACACATTGATTAAGCATAGACATGGACCAAGATGGATGCCAAAAAGATGCATTTAGTAGTTCTATAGATTATTAGTTTATTATCTTAGATGTGATTCAATTAAATATTCTAATAATTGTCTTCTTCTTAATCTTAAGCTTTTGTGGTAATTTCAACTGTGGTAGTAGAAAAACAAAAGATAAGAAAAAATAAAGTCCTGCTGGCCAGTATAAAATATTGACTCTTGGGGAAATATTTGCAATTCATTTCTTATGGATGCATTCAATATCACTACTACTAATAAATATTGTAGTCTTTACAGAGTGTTAGTCACTAACAGCCTGCACAAATTAATTCTTGGAAACAAAATTCTCCTCTCATATAGAATATTGCTAAATTGTAAATATGCACAAGATTAAATTGTAGGGAGAGGAGCTGTTATAGTTGCTCAAACATGAATACATTTCTCCTCTTTATGACAGCATTTGCAGTCACCTTCTCATAGCTTCGATGACCTGCTGAAGTACTTACGGGCTACACATACCTCATCCTTGGAAGATGCTTATGGAAGTTTTGAAGATAGGTAAGAATGGATCTCAAATCATTTCTATTTAATATGGCAAGTGATTTTTGGTCTTATTTATGCCTTTTTTTTAAGATTTTATTTATTTTATTTTTTCCCCCCAAAGCCCCAGTAGATAGTTGTATGTCATAGCTGCACATCCTTCTAGTTGCTGTATGTGGGACTCGGCCTCAGGATGGACGGAGAAGTGGTGCCTCGATGCGCACCCGGGATCCGAACCCGGGCCACCAGCATTGCAGCGCGCGCACTTAACCACCAAGCCACAGGGCCGGCCCTTATTTATGCCTTTTTATTCTTCTAAAGTGACTGTCAATCTTTCTGTTAAATAATATAGCTAATATTGAGGATTTTAATGATGAGGTGTAAATATTTTAGTACGATCAGGCTTAAAAAGTGTTTTATGAATAAAGGGAAAAAATTTGAGAAAAAAATCTTGGCCAACAACCAACCAACCCAGCTAACTAACCAACCAGCAAATAAAATATGCAACCAATTCTTCTCTGTTCAAAAAAAAAAAAGAAAATACATTATCTTCATTGTTTTGATTACAGACACATAATATGGCAGGTACATACTTGGGGAAAAAAATCAGCTAGCATCAGGATTAGCATACAAAATAGCCTAGAAAATTACCAAGTCACTCCACGTATACACCTAGAAGTATTATACACCTAGATGTGAAAGTGTAAGAATGATTTGTGTTTAGATGTGAATGACACTGTATTAGTCAGGGTCCTCCAGAGAAATAGACCCAATAGGAGATAGATAGATAGATAGATAGATAGATAGATAGATAGATAGATAGATAGATAGATAGATTTATTATAAGGAATTGGCTCCTATGATAATGGAGCCTAGCAAGTCCATAATCTGCAGAGCTGATGTCCTGTTCAAGCTGAAAGCCTAGCAGCTGCTGTAGAACCAGGAAGAGCCTACGTCCCGGTTTGAAGGCCATCAGCCAGGAGAATTCTCTCTTACTCAAGGGAAGATTAGTTTTTTGTTCTACTCAGGTCTTCAACTGATGGGATGAGTTGCATCCACATTATTGAGGGCAATCAGCTTTACTCAGTCTACTGATTTAAATGTTAATCTCTTCCAAAAACACCCTTACAGAAACACACAAAATAATGTTTGGCCAAATATCTGAGCATCCTATGGCCCAGTCAAGTTGGCACACAAAAATCACAGACCCTATTCAGGGGGTGGAGTCAACCACCTAGAGTGAGGTATGGGGTAGAAGTCTGGGTATGGTAAAAAACAGAAACAAAAAAATCAGGGCTCATTGGTATTGTATAAGTAAATTTGTAAATCCAGCAGAAATGTTTGAGTAACTCATGTTTCATCAGTTGTTGTCTCTCCCACTGACTCCATCATCCAGTAAGGTAAATAAATCACCTGATTAGCAGATTCACAGCACATTTCCTCCTCTACCTATTGGTATGGCTTCAACAACTAGGTATTAAATTGGGCAATGGAGGAGTTTTCTCCCATGGCAGTATGAGTGGTGTGATTTGGGTCTGCAGCCTTTGCAACAGTTGTAACTCAACTGCTTTTTCTATTCTGATGACAGGAAACAGGGATGAGATTATTAGACAAGATTTCAAGCTGGGATTGTTAATCTCAAAATGTGGTAGCAAATCATCTTTCTAGATTACTTTTTTCTTTTACAGATTTTTCAGGTTCATATACAAAGCTAACTCACAAGAGAATGCAACTTTTTGTAAAGGAGACATAAGAGTACTTTAGTTAAATTCAAGGATATTGCATAATTTTTTTTACTAATAGGTATATTTCCTTTACCTTGTGAACTTAGTCTTTTAAGCTTATTGCATTTATTCCTATTTATGTAATGAAACTGCTTTTGAAGAAAT